AAAAACGGCTACGTATTTCTGTAGATATTTGAGTAAAGAAAATAAAAATATTTGCTTTTTTGTTCTAAATAAAAAATTACGACACTTGTGCTGCTATTCGCGGAACACCATGCTATTTCGACTGTCTCCATCATATTGTGCAGATCCGCCATTTTGATAAATAAAATTCTGAAAAAATTATTTTTTATACTTTTTTATATGCTTAATAAAGTTATAAAACTCATTTTTTAATAGCACGATTCATTAAACAAAAAAAAATTCCTAAATGTAGGCCTTTCTTTACAGTCGATTACATAGGTGTTATCCCTTAATATATATTACGTTCAAACTGAATTAAATTTATTCAAATTAAGTATGTCAAGAAACAGATTCACGATAGAGAGATCTATAATTCTTTTCACGAGGGAATCGACTGCAGTAATACAGCCTCGGTGAAAATTTTTATTATAATTCTTTTTAATTGTATGTTTCTTAATTTTTTAATCCTATTTTACTTAAAAATGTACTTGTGCTTCTCTTTTCTTAAATACTTTATTGTCATTTATATCCTATTTTTATTTTGATTTTGTATATTTTTTAATTTATAAATCTATTCAAGTGCAAAGGACAGGCTCTATTTTTTTCGTCTTTAATATTATTGCTTCACGTACGCTATTCTTATCTGATTTAGTTTCTCCATTGCTTTTAAATTCGCTTGTTTGTTTTATTATTTAGTTTGTTTATACGAGTGAATTAATAAGTAATCTTAATATTTAATTTGCTTTGTATTTTTTTTTTCTTTTAATTGTGTGACTTTGTATATTGTATAAAAATAATATACAAAGTTTTGTTCTCTGCTGCTATATAATTTTTTCTATATAGTTACTGTACATTAATAAAATTATAACTTTTTAAAAAATTTCTGTTTTTTGTACGAGTTGAAATATATCTCAGAAAATAGAAGAGATAAGAGATCTTTTCTAGAATTTTTTATATATTCTAATTTAAGATTTCTTATTCTATAATTTCTGAAGAAAATTTATAAAATCTAAAGAAATTTAAAAGATTTTTTCGGAATATATAGAATTTTTTTTATCAGGATTAATTAAATCGATAGGCAGTCGCGTTGTTATAGAGATGCGTTTAAACAGAACCTCTTAAAATCAGCCTGCAAGTCGATCGACATATCAACGTTCCAGTCAAAGAGTCGTTCTTAGTTTCGATATATTTCATCATTGTTATGGCAAGTTTACCCCTCTTACCGGGATATACTTTTCGAGATATTACCGTAAGTATCCGAATAATTATACTTAATGTTTCTTTCTATTTTCACGTCATCAAGAGAATTACGTAATTGGAAGAATTGTATCGGCTATTGATTTCATATTTCCGCACGAGGGTATAATTTTCCAAATTAGTTTGATAGCTAATGAGGACGTATTGAACTTCATCGTTTTTATAAGGTCAAGGATTACAAATTGCCGCACAAACTCGACGTTTTAAATGGCTTCCCTGTGATACGCGATACCAATTACGGTATCGGAAGGAGATTAACGGATGCAGCATCCATTCGATATGCCGAAGGTCTAGACCCTGTGGAGTGAGTAACTGCGAACTTTTGTATTCGAAAATTACACATCGCATTTATATCAATTTGCTCTATAAAAGTATAATATATGTGTATAAAACTTTAATTAAAATGATTTTTAAAAAAGTATTTAAAAGTTTTTTTTATATATTAAAGATAATTTAAGTAATTGTTTTGCGATTCTGAATTTAATTTGTCGAATCATATATAAAATTTTATTTATTATTATAATCATCGGTTTTCCAATTTATTGGGAGATAATTAAAATAATTAATATTAACACCATACTATATTATTACTAATGTAGTATAGTGTTATAGGCTGCGTTCGGAAATGTTGCTCGGATGCTTCCGATGTCTCGGATTCATCATCTGTCCTCGTTTAACATTTAATGTTAAAGAAGGACAGATGACGAATCCGACAAGGGAACGACCAGAACTGTCCCTCATCGATTTTGATGTGCTTTGGATATGTTGTAGAACAAAAATATTCAAAAAATATTCGATCCATATTTTTTTATAGCGGCTTATCTCGAGGTTTAGGGGGTGAAACACTTGTTCTTAAAAATTTTTTTAATTTTGCCACCCTGATAAATGGGAATGGGGGTTAATTGAAAAATTTTATTTTTTAAAAAAATGAATACACTATTATATACAGCATAAAATACTGTAAAACTATTGTATAAACCATTTTTTTATACGCGGCACAGTTTCAAAGATATTTGCTGAAAACGAAAAAATCCATTTTCTTCAAGGCGGTGTTTCACCCCCTAAACCTCGAGATAAGCCGCTATAAAAAAATATGGGTCGAATATTTTTTGAATATTTTTGTTCTACAACATATCCAAAGCGCATCAAAATCGGTGAGGGACAGTTCTGACCGTTCCCTTGTGAGACATTGGGGAGGCATCCGAGTGACGTTTCCGAACGCAGCCATAATGTAATTATGTAATATGGTGTAAATTATTATTATTTTATGGAAAATAGCATAAAGTAAGTAATTGCATTAAATATGCCACGTGTATATTAATATTATTTAACCGCGATTAAAACAATTATCTGGCTTTGATTTTTATTGTTATTAACAGATATGATATATCGTCGATTTATGGCCCGGTGCCTTGCTACGTGTACCGACAATTTGTGCCTCATTACGCGGTGTTCGCACAGAAGTGTCTCCGCTTTAAAGCCTTCTTCCGCCAAGGAGTCTTCAACTCTCCGGACGAACATTATCGCGTTCGTCATGTAGACATTATCTATTACTTAGAAGACGACACGCTCTGCTTGATAGAGCCCGTGGTGAAGAACGCTGGTTTTCGGCAGGGTAAGCTGGTGAGACGTGACAAGATTCCGAAGAATGCCAAGGGAGATCTGTTCATCTGGAAGGATTTCAACGTCGGGATTGATATTTGTACGTTATTGATGATTAATCCTCTTAAATTGTCAATACCCGGATTCCCCTTTTCCATTCAACATCCGGGTACTGAACTATGCAAAGTCGCTAATTACAGCAATGTAGAGGTGCTATTTTATTTGTGTTTTTGTCACAAATGTGTGCAGGATAGAGAAGGTTCTCGGATCTCTCTATCCTATATATAGCCAATAAACAAGCTTGAAAAATTTATCGTAAAAACGCACGAATGAAATAACAGGCTAGTCTGAGCTACCCCCATACAGCACAGAATTTGCAGCAATATCGCTGCAATATTTCTGCAACATGCAATATTATTGCAATGTTGCAGCATTGTTGCTGCAACTTTTGTGTTGTAGGGGTCTGCGCCCTCCCCCTCCTCAGGTACCCAACGGGTATTGTAAGTTGATGAATGGACAGAAATTTTCCCCCTCTAGAAGTTTTCTAGAATTTTCCTCGGGCATCCTAAAGTCCGTATCAGACTACCGACTCTGCAAGCCGACCCGACTGCCAACTCTGGC